AATGAAGCTATCATTACAGAACAGAAAGAGAAACTAAGGACTCAATCCCATGTACAATTGCACCAAACACAATAAGATAGCTAGTAAGAGACCTAAACAAAGAGGTGAAAGACCTGTATTCTGAAAACTATTTAAACACTGATGAAAGAAATTGAAGATGACACCAAGAAATGGAAAGATATACCATGCTCATGGATCAAAAGAACAAATATTGCTAAATGTCTATACTACCCAAAGCAAGTTACACATTTAACTAAATCCCTAAAAAAAATACCAACAGCATTTTTCACAGAACTAAAACAAACAATTCTAAATTTTATATGGAACCATAAAAGACCCCAAATTCCCAAAGCAATCTTGAAAAAGAAAAACAGGGGCACTTGGGTGGCTCAGTCAGTGAAGCATCTGACTCTTGAGTTCAGATCAGGTCATGATTTCATGGTCATGGGATTGAGCCCTGCATCAGGCTGTGAGCTGACAGCACAGAGCCTACTTGGGAGTCTCTCTCTCCCTCTCTCTCTGCCCCTCACCCACTTCTGTATACGTGCTCTCTCTCTCACTCACTCACTCTCTCTCTCAAAATAAATAAATAAACATAAAAAGAGAAAGAAAAGCTGGAGGCATCACAACTCCACATTTCAAGTTATATTACAAAGCTGTAGTAATCAAAACAATATGGTACTGGTACAAATATTGATATGTAGATCAATAGAACAGAATAGAAAACCCAGTAATAAACCCACATCTATATAGTCAATTAATCTTTGACAAAGCAGGAAAGAATATCTGATGGGAAAAGGACAGTCCTTTCAACAAATGGTATTGGGAAAACGGCTCAGCTACACGAAAGAGAAAGAAACTGGACATTTCTTACACCATACATAAAAACAAATGTAAAATGGATTAAAGACCTAAATTTGAGTCCTGAAACAATAAAAATCATAGAAGTGAACACAGGAAGTAACCTCTTTGAAATCAGCTGTAGCAACCTTTTTTTCAGTAAGTCCCCTGAGGCAAGGGAAACAAAATAAAAAATAAACCATTGCAACTACATGAGAATAAAAAGCTTCTGCCCACCAAAGGAAACAGGCAACAAAACTAAAAGGCAACCTGTGGAATGGGAGAAGATAGTTGCAAATTACATATGTGATAAAGGGTTAGTATCCAAAGTGTATAAAGAACTTATAAAATGCAACATCCAAAAAACAAATAATCTAATTTTAAAATGGGTAGAAGGGGTGGGGTACCTGGGTGGCTCAGTAGGTTAAGCGTCTGACTTCAGCTCAGGTCATGATCTCACAGTTTGTAGGTTCGAGCCTTGCATCAGGCTCTGTTCTGACAGGTCAGAGCCTGGAGCCTACTTTGGATTCTGTGTCTCCCTCTCTCTCTCTGGCCCTCACCTGCTCACACTCTGTCTCTCTCTCTCTTTCAAAACTAAATAAACATTTTTTAAAAATTAAAAATGGGAAGAAGACATAGACATTTCTTCAAAGAAGACATCCAGATGGTCAACAGACACATGAAAAGATGTTCATCATCACTTACCATCAGGGAAATGCAAATCAAACCTACAATGCGGTATCACCTCACACCTGTCAGAAAGGCTAAAATTAACAACACAAGAAACAACAGGTGTTGGCAAAGATGTAGAGTAAAAGAACACTCATGCACTGTTGGTGCAAATGAAAACTGAGGCAGCCACTCTGGAAAACAATATGAAGTTTTGTTTGTCAAAAAGTTAAAAACAGAACTAGCCTAAGATCCAGCATTTGCACTACTGGGTATTTAAGCAAAGAATACAAAAACACTAATTCAAGGAGCTATATGTGCCCCTATAATTATAGCAGCATTGTTTACAATAGCCAAGATATGGAAGTAGCCCAAGTGTCCATAGATTGATGGATAGAGAAGAGGCATATATATTATATATATATTATTCATATATGCATTCATATATTTTTATGCTGAATAAAAAATATATATGTAATTCCATATAATGTATGGAATATATTATATATTTATTATATATTATATATGGAATATTATGTATTATATATGGAATATTATATATGGAATATTATTCAGCATAAAAATAATGAAATCTTGCCATTTTCGATAAGATAGAGGGAGCTAGGGAGTATAATGCTAAGTGAAATAAGACAGAGAAAGACAAATACCATATGATTTCACTCATATGTGGAATTTAAGAAACAAAACAAAGGGAAAAAAACTGGGTATTGTTTGGAAGTGTGGAATCATAATATTGTACACCTCAAACTAATATAATACTGTACGTTAACTAACTAGAATTAAAATAAAAACTTAAAAACCCAACATCTACAAATTAAATTTCCTGTCTTTTGTGGACACAGCTCATAGTGCCCCAAAACAATTACAAAGTAACATCAGAGATCTCTGATCATAACAATATATAATCATGAAAAATTTTTAAATATTGCAAAGTTACCAAATGTGACACAGAGACACAAAGTCATCAAATGCTCTTGGAAAAGCCAGGCTGATAGACTTATTTTACACAGAGCTGCAATAAACTTTCAATTTGTAAAAAAAATACATAAAAAGAAAAATATCTGACAAGCACAATAAAGTAAGTCTAGTAAAATCAGGTATTCTTGTACAAATAAGGAGGTTAAATAAGTAATCAAAAATTTACCAACACAGAAAACTCAGGCTTCAGTATTGAATTCTAATAAACACTTAAAGAAGAATTGACACCAATACTTAAAATCTTCCAAAAGGATTAAAGAAAAGGGAAAATTTCCAACTCTTTTGAAGGCCAGAATTATCCTGATATAAAAAAAAATTACAGATAAATATCCCTAATAAACACAGATGCAAAATCTTCAACAAAATACTTAGCAACGTGAATTCAACAGCAAATTAAAAGGATCATACACAATGAGTAGGTGGGATTTATCCTCAGAATGCAAGGATTATTCAATATAAGTAAGTTGATTTATAAACACCACATTGATTGAAAAAGAAAAATTACATAACTATTTCAATAGTTGCAGAACAGATACTTGATGTAATTTAACACCTTTTCATCATTTAAAAAAATAGCAAAACTCTTGAAACTATGTATAAAAGAATTTATGTCAACACAATAAAAGCTATATATGAAAAGCCCATGGCTAACCTCTAAATTGTTGACTTTATGGGCATTGAATTGTTTGTTGTATTCTTATCTTTTTAATATTTGTAAAATCTGTAATAATGTCTTCTTTCTTATTCCTGATGTTGGTGGTATTTGGCTTCTCATTTATTTTTCTTGCTCAGTCTAGTTAAAGGTTTTCAACTTATTGATTTTCTGACATTTTTTCTGTTTTCATCAATTTCTGCTGTAGTATGATTTTTCCTTTCTTTTTATTGCTTTAGGGTAAATTTGTTCTTATTTGGCTAGTTTCTTAACATTGAAATTTATAATACTTGAGATTGTCGTTTTTTTCTAACATACGTATCTTATGCTATTAATTTCCCTAGGTGGCTTAGTCGGTTGAGCATCAAACTTTGGCTCAGGTCATGATCTCATGGTTCGTGGGTTTGAGCCCCACATCGGGCTCTGTGCTGACAGCTCAGAGCCTGGAGCCTGCTTCAGTTTCTGTGTCTTCCTCTCTCTCTGCCCTTCCCCCACTCACTCACTCACTCTCTCAAAAATAAACATTAAAAATTTTTTTTAATTTCCCTCTAAGTAAAACTCCTGTGGCATTCCTATAGCTTTTTTTTTTAATTGCAGTAAGATCGCTTAATGGATATCTACTCTAATAACAAGTTTTTGAATGTAATATAAAGTACTGTTACATATACTGTTAAATCTTCTGTTGTACAGCAGATCTCATCTTGCATGATTAAAACGTTATCCATTGAACAAGAGCTCTTAATTCCTCCTTCTTCCCAACCATTGGCAAACATTTTACACTCTTCTTCTATGAGTTTGGTGAGGGGTTGTGATCAAGAAAAGGAAATGTCTTGGGGCACCTGGATGGCTCAGTCGGTTGAGTGTCCGACTTCAGCTCAGGTCATGATCTCATGGTCTGTGAGTTCGAGCCCTGCATTGGGCTCTGTGCTGACAGCTCAGAGCCTGGAGCCTGCTTCAGATTCTGTGTGTCCCTCTCTCTCTGCTCCTCCCCTGCTCATGCTGTCTCTTTCTCTATCTCTCTCTGTCAAAAATAAATAAACATTAAAAAAATTTTTATAAGAAAGGGAAATGTCTAAGGCCTATGGGAATCAGACCACAATTTGAATAGAAAAGTGATTACATAGGATGTTTGTTTCAGAATTATCTATTAACCTGTTCATAAATGTTTTATGCATTTTTATATTATATATAATATAGTTTAAGGAAACTTGTTCTGTATTATTTCAAATGTATATTAATTATTATAAAAATTCAACATAAGGTCTGAGAGTACACTTACTAAACTTACAATAGTGGCTATTTTTGGAAAAAGAAAAGGTTCTAAGTACTTACATTTGGATAAGTGGGTTTTCATTTCATCTGGATTGTTTAAATTTTTACAGAAATAAATTTACTTATAACTTGGGTAAGTGATTTTAAAAATGAGAATAGCCAACAAGTAAATAAATGGGGAAAATCTATTTGAAAAATTTATAGGAATCAACCTTATATATAGGATATCTATATCAATATTGATATAGATATATAAGGATATACCCTTATATAAAGGATTCAATGGTGAGAATCAGATGGATATGTCTTCATCCTAATCTATAAAACCAGTAAATTTAATCTTATTGGGAAAAAAAAAGAGTGCTTGTATAAACAAGATCATCCTGGATTTTCTGGATACATCTTAGTTCAAACAACAAATGTCCTTAAAAGAGACATAAGGAGAGCAGAGAAGGCTATATAAAGGTGGAGGCAGATGGGAGTGATATAGCCAGAGGAAATGTCAGTAAAGAAGGTAAATTCCTTGAAAGAATAAAATCTTTTGTAATTAAAATAAGAAAACACTAACCTGGCTTCTTTGTTTATTTGATCACCGTATCCCACTGTTTTCACAACAGTTAATTTCAATTGAACATTACTTTCCTGAAGTTCATATGTCTGAATTTTAAGTCCAACATTTGAGTAAAAATGTGAGGACTTCTTGTCTTTCAAATTAGTATTGAATAATGTGTCAATGAGTGTTGATTTTCCAATTCCAGTTTCCCCTGTAATAAACATAGATACATTATCTAGGGACATAAAATGGCTAAGAAGAAGTAACGCTTAACCCAAATACATCAATGACTATAATGTCCTTTAAAGTTTACATGTTTAGGGGCTCCTGAATGGCTCAGTTGGTTGAGTGTCCAACTTCAGTTCAGGTCATGATCTCACAGTTCATGGGTTCAAACCCCACACTGGGATCTATGCTGACAGCTCAGAACCTGTAGCTTGCTTCAGATTCTGTCTCCTCTCTCTGCCCCTTCCCCTGCTTATGTGTGTGCACTCTCTCTCTCTCTTTCAAAAATAAATAAATAAGGGAGGGATGGGAGCAGAGAGAGAGAGAGAGAATCCCAAACAGGCTCCATGCTGGCAAATGCAGAGCCCGATGCAGGGCTCGATCTCACAAACCTGAGATCATGACCTGAGCTGAAATCAAGAGTCAGACTCTCAACAGACTGAGCCACCCAGGCACCCTGGGAAGAAGAAATTTTAATGACTTGGAGAGAGGTTCCTGAAATTAGCAGTGAACAAAACAGTATATAATATAGGAACTCAATTGTGTGAAAAAATAATTATATGTAAATATATAATGGTGATGGTGGGATTACAGGTAAAAAAAATAAATAAATAAATAAATAAATAAAATGCATTTTAAAAATCTTGTGAATAAAAATGAGGTATACATGTTTCTCTTGACTCTCTCAGTCATTAATATAATATAGAAAAAATATACACGAAAACATATCAGATTTTGAAGAGCACTGAAACATCCAAAGAAAATAAAAGTCTAGGGGCACCTGGGTGGCTCAGTCACTTAAGCGTCCAACTTTTGGTTTCAGCTCAGGTCACGATCTCATGATTCATGGATTCTAGCCCCACATTGGCCTCTGTACTGACAGTGTGGAGCCTGCTTGAGATTCTCTCTCTCCATTTCTCTCTGTCCCCCCCCCCGTGTCTCTCTCTCTCAAAAACAAATAAAAATTTATTTGTATAAAAAGTCTAAGTAATGTGACTAACATGATGGGAACAAATACAGATAGAAGGACATGGTCTTGAATTAGCAGCACCAGTGTTACACTACTTTAGATAAGTTGAAGTAAGCATTTGAGAAAATTAAGTACTAATTCAGATGAGGAATCAGGCACTTACCCACACAGAGAATATTAAAAGAAAATCCTTGTTGAATAGATTGGTTTACCAACTGATGAGGCAAACATTCAAAACCAAAATGACCAAGCATTGTTAAGCAACGGACACTATCTCCTCTTTGCTTAAAAACACAAAAATAAAACAATTAATTAAAATTAGTAATATTATTTGAAAAAATAATTTTAATAATAGGTTTAAGAAATTAGAATTATCATTTGATTATCATAACTCAGACAAGATTTGAATTAAGTAAATTTGTGAACAAGTAAGTCTTGTCCAGACACATAGTTTTTGCTTTCAATTTTAAAAATAGTAAATCTGGAGGAGGGAGAGGAAGATGGCAGCAAAGTAGGAGGACCCTAGCCTCATCTTGTCTCTTGAACACAAATAGATAACTATAAAATCATGCTAAATACTCCAGAAATCAATCTGAAGACAGACAGATCAAACTCCACAACGAAGGGAGAGAAGAGGCCACATCAAAGAAAGTATGAAGTGCAGAGAAGTGGTATAGGGGAGAAAAAGATTATGGGTGCTTCAGAAAGGAGGGAGCCAGCATCAGAGAGAAGGGTGAGAAAGAGAGGAGCACAGAGGGGAACACCCAAGGAGAATATTTTACATAAGTCATTGGTTTGGAAAACTAGAGGGGCTGAATTTCATGAGTTCTTGCAACCAATGGTGCTTAAAGCCTGGAGTTTTAAAGTTGAGCTGGCTTGTCTGGGAGAGAGCCCCAAGGGCATTTTTCTGCTCCTGGATATAAGGCAGGCAAACAACCCAGGGGCAGATCCCATGGAAACAGAACTCCAAAGAATGCCTGGTCACACAGTGGGGAAAGTATTTGCTCTTCTCTGAGCACATACCAAAGAGACATCATTCACAGATGCCTCTGTGGGAACATAAGAGCTACCTGGCACCATTTCAGTCCCCTGCCCCTCAGCATAAACAAAGAGCCACCTGTGGAAGCAGTGCAGTGCCCACACTAAATTGCTTGCACAAAGCCCACTCCCTGCACTCTGATGGGACTGCCCTTCTCATTCAAGCTCGCCTCAAGCACAATGGGGTGGACCCCTCCCTAAGAAGGCAAGCACAAACCCCTGTCCACATCATGTCTCCTGACCAGAGAATTTTATGGGCACTTAGTTCTGGTGGAGGTAGTGTCAGGTCTCATTTCATAAGCAGACCAGAACACATCTAATTAAAACTCACAACATTTAGGCCAGGGACCAAACAATGCCCACAACAGGCAAGGAGAACCTCTGCAGATGACTGGCCTGAAGGATAGAGCAGCCAAAACACAATAGCAGAGTGCATGCAACACACATCCAGACACTTACTGAAATGACAGGCTGGGGATGTTACATGATCTCTTCTTCATAAGGCCATTATTTCAGAATAGAGACATAGCTGGCTTTTCTAACAGAGAGAAGGCAGAGACATAAACAAAATGCAAAGATGGAGTGATTGATCACAAATGAAAGAACAAAATAAGGCCATGGCCAGTGAAACAGATATAAGTAACATGTCTGATGGAAAATTTAAAGCAACCATCATAAGAATACTATCAGGGCTTCAGAAAAGAATGGAAGACATCAGACACCCTTACCACAGATATAAAAGACTTAAAACGAATCAGTCAGAGATAAAGAATACAATGAACGATGTTAGAAACAGGCCTGATGCAATGAACAGTAGGGTGGAAGAAGCAGAGGAATGAATTAGTGACACAGAAGACAAAATAATGGAGAAGATGGCGGCAAAGTAGGAGGACCCTAGGCTTGTCTCATCCCTTGAACACAATTAGATAGCTATCAAATCATTCTAAATAATCCAGAAATCAACCTGAAGACTGGCAGAACAAGCTCCATAACTAAAGGGAGAGAAAGAAGCCACATCAAAGAATGTAGGAAGTGTGGAGACATGGTTTAATGGAGAAATGCTGCAGAGAAGTGCTGCAGAGGGGAAGCAGCTGTGTTCACAGGAAAAAGCAAGAGAGAGTGAGCACACAAGGGAAAGAACACACAAGGAGAACATTTCCCCTAAAGCCATTGGCTGGAAAAACAAGAGGGGTTGATTTTTTGTGAGTTCTTGCAACCAGCAGCGTTTAAAGATGAGTTTTAAAGGTCCACAGGCTTTGCTGGGATTGAGCCCTGAAGACACTGATTTGTTCCTAGAGATAAGGCAGGCAAACAACTGGGGGGTGGGGGAGGAGACAGTGAGGGGAATGGGGAGGCAGAAGGCATGGGATAAGTAATCTGAAGAATGCCTGGGGCACACAGTGGGGGAGATTATTTGCTGCTCATGGAGTGCATCTCTGAGAGCCAGCATTCACAGAGTTGACTCTCTGGAGACAAAGGAGCCAGCTGGTGCTATTTCCCTCTGCAGCGCCCCAGCATATATACAGAGCCACCTGCTGGAAATAGCACAGCACTGACACTGGCTGCCTAACTTGCTTATGCCAAGTCTCACCCTCTGTGCTCTGGTGCAACTGCCCTTCTCAGTCAAACTTGTCTCAGTCCCAGTGAAGTTGGCTCCTCCCCAAGAAGACTACTACAAGCCTTTGCCCACACCGTGTCCCTAAAGCCTGGAGGTTTTTTTTTTTTAATTTTTTTTAACGTTAATTTATTTTTGAGACAGAGAGAGACAGGCATGAATGGGGGAGGGTCAGAGAGAGGGAGACACAGAATCTGAAACAGGCTCCAGGCTCTGAGCTGTCAGCACAGAGCCCGATGTGGGGCTCGAACTCATGGACCATGAAATCATGACCTGAGCCAGTCGGCTGCTTAACCGACTGAGCCACCCAGGCACCCCTAGCCTGGGGTTTTAAAAGTCAGCAGGCTTGGCTGGGAGAGATCCCAGAGGGCACTGTGCTGCTCCCGGATAAAAGGTAAGCAATAATCCAGAAGCAGAGAGTCTGGACACAGACATCTCAAAAATGCCTGGGTCAAACATGGAGAGATTATTTGCTCTTCTTGGAGTGCTTCTCTGAGAGGCAGCATTCAAGGAGTCACCTCTACAGGAACAAAGGAGACAGCTTATGTCAGTTCCCTCCTTCAACCCTCATATAAACATAGACACACCTGCAGTAAGCAGGCAGTACCAAGACTGGCTGCCTAACCTGCCTGCACTAAATCCCACACCCCTACACTCTGGCACAACTGCCCTTCTCAGTCAAGCTTACCTCGGTACCAGCACAGCAGGCCCCTTCCCCAGAAGAAAGACCAGCATAAACACCTGGCCACACCATGTCTCCTGACCAGGAAGATCTGCAGGGCTTCAGTAGTATCAGGTCTCATTCAACAAACAGATAAGGCCATACCTAGTTAAAACTCCACATTCTGGCCAGGGACCCAACATTGTCCACTGCAGGCAAGGAGAGCCTGCAGACGCATGGTATGAAGAATAGAGCAAATAGCAGTGCATGCAGCACACACCAGAGACACTTCCTAAAGTGACAGGCCCTGGACATTTATGACCTCTTCTTCATAAGCTATTACTCTAGGGAGCAGGAAACATACAGGCTTGTAACACACAGAAGAAGGCAGAGACTTACACAAAATGCCATGACAGAGGAATTCATCCTAAATGAAACAACAAGATAAGGTCACAACCAGAGATCTAAGAAAGGCAGATATAAGTAACATGTCTGATGGAGAATTTAAAGCAAAAATAATAAGTATATTCTCTGGGTTTAAAAAAAGAATAGAAGAAGAGCACCTTGGTGGCTCACTCAACTAATTGTCTGACTCTTGATTTTGGCTCAGGTCATGATCTCATGGTTCATGAGTTCAAGCTCTGCATCAGGCTCTGTGCTGACAGTATGGAGCTTGCTTAGGATTCTCTCTCTCTCTCTCTCTCTCTCTCTCTCTGTCTATTTAAAAAAAATCTCAAAAAAAAATAAAATGAATATTTTAAAAGAAAAGAAGAGAGGAGCGCCTGGGTGGGTCAGTCGGTTGAGCATCCGACTTCAGCTCGGGACATGATTTCGCGGTCTGTGGGTTCAAGCCCCATGTTGGGCTCTGTGCTGACAGCGCAGCCTGGAGCCTGCTTCAGATTCTGTCTCCCTCTCTCTCTGCCCCTTCCCCGCTCATGCTCTGTCTCTCTCTCTGTCAAAAATAAATAAACTTAAAAAAAAATTTTTTTAAAGAAAAGAAGAGATCAGTGAGACCATTACCACAGATATAAAAGAGTTCAAAGGGGCGCCTGGGTGGCGCAGTCGGTTAAGCGTCCAACTTCAGCCAGGTCACGATCTCGCAGTCCGTGAGTTCGAGCCCCGCGTCAGGCTCTGGGCTGATGGCTCGGAGCCTGGAGCCTGTTTCCGGTTCTGTGTCTCCCTCTCTCTCTGCCCCTCCCCCGTTCATGCTCTGAGTCTCTCTCTGTCCCAAAAATAAATAAAAACGTGGAAAAAAAATTAAAAAAAAATAAAAGACTTCAAAAAGAATCAATCAGAGATGAATAGTGCAATAAATGAGATTGGAAACAGGCTTAATGGAATGAATAGCAGAGTGGAAGAAGCAGAGGAATGAATTAGTGATAGAAGACAAAGTAAGAGAAATTAAAGAAGCTAAACAAAATAAGAAAGAATTATGCAACATGAGATAGACTTAAGGAACTCAATGACTGCATCAAATGTAATAACATTTGTATTACAAGAGTCCCACAAGAAGAAGACAGAGAAGAGGGGGCAAAACATTTATTTGAAGAAATAGTAGCTGAAAACTTCCTTAATTTGAGGAAGGAAACAGACATCCAGATCCAGGAGGCACAGAGAACTCCCATCAAAATCAACAAAATGGGGCCTCTGGGTGGCTCAGTCGGTTAAGCATCCAACTTCAGCTCAGGTCATGATCTCATGGTTTGTGAGTTCAAGCCCCACATTGAGATCTGTACTGACAGCTCAGAGCCTGGAACCTGCTTCAGATTCTGTGTCTCCATCTCCCTTTGTCCCTCCCCCACTCACACTCTGTCTCTCTTTCTGGCTCTCAAAAATAAACAAACATTTAAAAATTTTTTTAAATCAACAAAAGCAAGCCAACAGCAAGATATATTGTAATTACATTTGCAAAGTAGAGTGAAAGAAAACATCTTTAAAGCAGCAAGACTAAAGAAGTCCTTAACTTACAA